AGAGGTGGAGGTTGCAGTGAGCAGAGACTACACTACTGCACTCCAGCCTGGGTGGCAAGAGCAAAACTCCATCCCAAAAAAAAAAAAAAAAAACCCTTCACCCCACACACTCACCAAGAGGTATCTCAGAGGGAGGGAGTTTGGGTGCCTTGCCATTTGCCCCTCCCACATGGGAATGAGTGCCAAGCACATTCCTTTCTCTGCCTTTATCCTGCAGGGCTCTGATTTAGACAAGCAGCCTCCAATTCGCTGGAGGGAAGGAGGTGGTTGGTGCCTGCACCCACCAGGGCATTTGCCTCCTGCTCTGACCATTGCTCTGAGCCCAGCCACACTCATTTATATCCCACAAGCAGGAAACTCAAGAAATTGTGGTGGCCATTCCCTCTCTAGCTCCCCCCACAGAGAAGCAAAAGGAACACGTACACGTAGCCGATGATATCAGCATCTGGCTGCTGGTAGAATGCTTTGTCAGCGATCCTTGAGGGAAAGGTTGAGGGAAGGGGTTAGGTGGGGGCAGACAGATGGCAAGACAGACAGGCAGGCAGAAGGTTAGACAGAGAGAGAGAGAGCGCATTAGTACCTCCTGTGGGAGAAGTGTTAGGAAGCATAGTTCTGGAAGGCTCAGCAACGATCCACAGACCCAAATAGGAGAACGGGGACCTTCACCCTGGCCCCAGCGCCTTCTCTAAAATCCATCCCTGATCATGTTACTCCTGTTCAGACCCCTTCAGTGGCTCCCCACCGCCCATGTCACTGCCCAGCTCATCAGCCAAGGCCCTTACAACGTGAGCCCACAGGTTCCTGCCTTCTCTCCCACCACTCCCTGGCCCCGTTGCCCAATACATCACATTTTTTTCTTTCGTACCCAGGTCTAGAATGCGCCCCTACCCCCTGCCCTTTTTTCCCTGATGACCTCCTAGTCATCTTCCAAAGCCCAAGTCCCAAGACACAGAGGTCCCTCCCTGACCTGTTTCCTTGCTTCCATGGCCTTCGTGCAGAGGGCCCTAGTGTATTCGAGCTCAGTCAAACGTGTGTGTTTCTCCTCTGTGCCCTTTGAGGACATAAGACTGGGTCCTCCTTATCTCCGTCTCCTCAGTGCCTACCCCAGAGCCTGGCACGCAGCAGTTCCCCAGACAGAAGGGCAGCTTTTCCCACAACACGCCTTTCCCTTCCTGGAAGACCTTGTACCTTGAAGGGCACAGCCTCAAAGGCAGGAAGCACTGGGCAATGTTCAGTCATGTCCCCACAGCCCCCTCATGTCCCCACAGCCCCTCTCATGTCCCTACAGCCCCCTCATGTCCCCATAGCCCCTCTCATGTCCCTACAGCCCCCTCATGTCCCCATAGCCCCTCTCATGTCCCCATAGCCCCTCTCATGTCCCCATAGCCCCTCTCATGTCCCCATAGCCCCCCTCATGTCCCCATAGCCCCTTTCATGTCCCCATAGCCCCCTCATGTCCCCATAGCCCCTCTCATGTCCC